TTTGTTGAAACATTTTATTTGGTATTTGGTCAGTCCCTCGAGTCTTGTTTTTTGTTACTACCTTCAGAGCAGCTTGGACTTTTTTCCTTCAGTACCGTTAGTTCTTGATCACATAATACCTCTTAAAATGGTTGTATGTCAACTAGTTCTTTTTGGTACAGCAACTCTGTGCATTCCTCCCATCTTTTTGATATTCCCTGCATCATTCATTATTTTGTTCCTAGAATCAATATTACAAACCGAGGCCTGAATTCTTTCTTCTTTCAGCTTAAGAAACATTGAGTATCTTCTTCCTGTTTGGCTTTCTAACTCTAGGTCTTTGTACATTTCATCATAAAACTTTATTTTGTCTTCTTGAGTTGCCCTTTGAACTTTTCTATTCAGCTCTTTTATGCTATCATTTCTCTCATTTTCTTTAGCCACTCTATGATTCGGAGCAAGTTTCAACGTCTCTTCTTACATATAGTTTAGTCTTTTCTTTCTGTCTTCTCTTTCAAATGACCTTTTGCTTTCTTCTTGTCTGATGTTTCTGTCACTCAACAACTTGTTGTGCCAAATCTGGTCTTAAGAAGGGTTCATCTGCAGCCAATTAAGCCAACCGTCCTCCTCCTTGTGGGGGCCGGTGTGCAATGGCTGCAAACAGCAAGCCTCCTCAGTAGTGTATGCAGCCTATTGGTGTGTATAGGATGCCCTAAGGGACCCTGGAGACAACCTTTGGCTGCTTTTCAATGCCTCTGGCCTGGCTAATTTCTGCTCTCCCTAAACTAGGCTCCAAACTGGGATGCCAGGTGCTTTTGGGAAACCTCGAGGCACAGTGGCTAGAGTCCACATTGGCCAGGTTATCATGTCCATCCGCACCAAGCTTCAAAACAAGGAGCATGTGATTGAGGCCTTATGCAGAGCCAAGTTCACGTTCCCTGGGCGCCAGAAGATCCACATCTCCAAGAAGTGGGGCTTCACCAAGTTCAATGCTGATGAGTTTGAGGATATGGTGGCTGAGAAGCGCCTCATCCAGGATGGCTGTGGAGTCAAAGACATCCCTCACCGTGGCCCCTTGGACAAGTGGCGGCCCTGCATTCATGAAGGCCTTGGTAGCCCTGTGCTGCCTCACTTGTACCCACCAAATAAAAATTGAACTTCCTGATTAAAAAAAAAAAGAAGAAGGGTTCAAAAGTTAGGGGAGTTATACTCAAGACTATTTGGCTCTTGTGTTTTACTTCAATCTGAAGTTACATGTGAGTACTGATGGTTTGTTCCACAATAGCCCCTTGTTTTGGCAGCTAATACTGAGCTTCTCCATCATCTCTTCCCCCTGATGCAGTTAGTTTGATTCCTGTGTA